TTCTTCAAGAATGCTTTTCTGTTCTATAAAGTCTGGCTGTCTAGCCAATATTTTCATATTGCAACAAATTTTCTCTTCATCCTTTGAGCATTTAACACATTTACCTCTTAATCGTTTATCCTATATTCCTCTTTCTGTCATTACTGCCTCGATTCCTTTTTGTTTTTCTCTTTTTTTTTGGACTGGATGATTTAGCGGAAAGACCATCTCTTGGGATATAATGTTAAAAAATCGACCAGGACGCATTATTGGTTGTTTACCACCATAGCCAACATTCATCCTTCTCACTATTAGAGCATTCTCAGCAAAAGCTTCATAATTGGTGCTGTTATCAAATCCAAAAACAAAAATCGTATCTGGAAGTGCAATTTCTAAAATGTCAATTGCCCATTCAAGTTGTTTAGCTAGCAATTCAACTTTCCAATAACCTTTGTAGTTTGCTCCAATTTCTAACAGCTCTGTAACATAACATTTTGGGATTTCAGGATAGGCTGCATGTTGTTCTTCAGTTAAATGAACTCGACCTAGTGGTTCACACAAAAATTTACTAACATGGATGCCCCTGCCCTGCCCTTTTGGATGTATTTTGTGTTCACCTATTAATAGTTAAAATAGTAAAAGGTTAGTTTGCAAAATAAATCACAAATTATATAAAAATATGAACAACTTTTGGGCCCCCATCCTGTTTTTTATCATCATTCGCATTTAATGTCATCTCATCATGTGTATTACACAATGTCGCTTTTGTTTAGGAGAAATATTCTTCTCTACTAACTTAGAGAGATCTTTGTCATTATATTCAACAAGAACGGGCTCCAATTTCTTCATCATTAGCAAAAAAATTGTTTGTCTATATTGCACTACATCCTCTTGTTCATGTCCGTCTACATATATATCTTTTTTCTATTCTTTACAATGCTAGCCCAGTTTTTTAAGCCATCTCCATGCCGTTTTCTCACATATAGTTTTTTTTCTTTCAATACCTAAGGACGGAAATACTTTATTCTCTATGTAATTTTTCAGAATTTTAGAATTCACACTAAACTTATGACTTCTGAGATATGACATTATCTGTTCAAAGTGTGACTAATGTAAATTACAAGAAATTAACACATGCACAAAATCGTTGTAAAAACATGTATACCTTCATAGATATTCTCTCATCATCAAGAAGGCTTGATACCTTTGTGAATTTATCACAGTTCTCTTTTGGAAGTTTTTGCCATTTTATCCAATTTTGAGCCTATGCGCCAATACATCGTGCTTTATAATCCCCCCATCCCAATGAACTAGCAATCATCATGCTTGTACTTATTCTAGTCTGACCCTGGTACCTTAATTGTAAATATTGCAATGACGCTTGCAGACGAACCCTTACACCTTTATCCATTTGATTGTCATCCTTTTTCAATGTCCTCTCCAACTCCTCAATTGCCAACCTCATTTTCGTTCTCTCATCAAGATCAATTTCTGCAGATAAATCTGCTGTTGATTCCACTTCTATCAATTCCATTTTTGCTGATTCTACCCCTATTGATTCCATCTCAATTGATTCCATCTCTATTGATTCTGTAGATGATTCTAAAGTAGAAGTCGTTAAAGCAGGAGCTAAGTAAGTAGTGATTGACCGGGTATTTTGTGCAGCTTTCCTTAGCTTCGCTTTTTTACATCTTTGAATTCTTTTAGAACCTCCAATGTAAGTTGAAGGCCTACCTAAAGGTTTTCAGATATTTTTATTTTTACTAGCCGTTAATAAAACAGCAAAGTAATCAGAAGCTCTTTCATCAATTTCATGATCTGACCAAATATGGTCATCAAGATTTTCATAATCTGATATGTTATTTGGTTCAAATGCATATAATTTTTTGTACGCTTCTTGGCTCTAGCAGCTTTAAGTTGCTTCTTTCTTTTGTTTGGATGTGCCATAATGGTGGCTATGATAAGATGAGTGAATTGAAGTAAAATTTATTGTCTAAACCAAGATTTTTTAACCGAGATTGAATACTGTAATTTGAGGTATGGGTCGTTCTATTAATTATCAGATACCAAACGTTCTTAGTTTATTTTTTATTTTTTTATTTTTTATTTTATTTTTTATTTTATTTTTTTTTATTTTTTTATTTTTTTTATTTTTATTTTTTATTTTTTATTTTTAATATTCTATTAGTTTTCTATCGAGGCTAAAAAATGACCTGTCCAGTCTAATAATATCTTCAAAGAAATGTAAGTGTTCGCAAAATTTTATTTATTCTTCAGTCCACTCCGTCACCTTCAATTATATAACTTCGTGTTCTTCAACTTTTAACTTTACGATAAATCTCTTGAAACTGAGCATGAGTTATCGTTATCGTTATATATTATTGATTATTTCTGACCTTACATCATCACTGCATAATCGATATCGCATCGCATTTAATAATGCGAACATAAAAATATTTCTAATTAAGTTAACTTATTGAATTGAAGTTAGAAATGGCAGTGCACTTTGTATCTAGTTAAAGGCTTGTTGTATTTATACCCGCTTTGATCTTTAACTCTTTTTATTCCAACTCCTAACAACATACACCCTCTATCTTCACTCTCTACCTTCACTCTCTATCTTCATCTTCTACCTTCACCTTTTACCTTCATCCTTTACTTTCACCTCTACTTTCTTCCACAGTCACAATGATATTATTATTAGACAAGTTTATTTCAAGAAAAGAATTCAAAAAATAGAAGTTCAATCTCATCTAACGCTAACCTTTTATTTATTAAATTTCATGTGCGGATTATATCATCATCATTCTGTTGATAGACTATTCTATTCAATAGACTTTTACATTGCAGATTGCATTATCTTTTTACCTTTATTTTCCACATATCGTATTACCTTTTACCTTTATTTCCCTACGCAGATAATCATAGACTTTTACATTGTATTTCATACCGGTTTTTATATGCTAAAACTGGGCACATCACACAAATACTAATTGATCGTTATCATTACATAGTAATAAAATTTATCGGAAAATTTCGGAATATACGTGCTCGTCTTTTGCGTTCGATGAATTTCAGCTCAGGAATATTCGGGATTTGCAGTATGATGCTTTATTGGCCGCCTGGGTCATGTGACTCCGGTTCTAGATTACATGCACCATATTAGTAAATAATAAAAATATAGTAAAATTACTCGAGAAATTTTTTTTGTTAGTATACAAAAGGCAGTTTCTTATATAAATTTTTGAGAAATAAATAATTTTTGACAAAACTGTTATTTGTTTTGGATCTTTGTGATCATATTATATTGCACAAAATTGTGATTAATTATTGTAATTAGAGATTTTGCCAAATATAGATAGATCACATCTTGTATAGTAAAGAAATATTGATCACATAATTCTAGATCATTTGGATATACAAAAATCATATATAATTGACCAATCAAATTTAATCACAACTTATTAATTAAAAGAAGTTAGTTATCATTTGCTTTTTTTATAATAGCTTATTGCGAGAGATCAAATAGGATTATTTAAAGTAGACATCTTATATTAACTAATTAAATATCGTTTAATATCGAATAAAAAATAAAATATCAAATGATCCTATAGTAGAAAAAATATTATATAGCTAATCAAATTCATGAAATAATACAGAGATCATTCTAAAATATGATTTTCTAATTTAGTAAAATCTCTGACTGTATTGGATAATTTGATGTAGATCATCACGTGACTGTAAAATTTTGTTAGCGAATCTGAATAGTTCACAAAGTGCTATTAATTATACTTTATCTGTACAATAGTATATGATAATCAAATTAAATTCTATTAAAAAACTCAGAAATTTGTTTTTTTTTGATCT